AGAAATCTTAAGGATCACATGTTAATTCATGCTGGAATAAAGCCTTTCAGCTGCTCTCCGTGTGGAAAGAGTTTTACACAGAAATAGTTTACTGATACTGTTTTTGAAACCAAATCTTTGCATAACTACAGGAAACACTGCATCTAACAATGGTTTGGGAAAAAATAGTTCATTAAAAAATAATAATAAATAAAAGCATATACATCAACTTAAATACAGTTATCTAATGTGCATGTGTCCTATTCTGTGTACTAAACTCCTGAAACATTGGTGTCTTTTTGAAACATTGGTCTCTCTTTGTATATGATATGATGATAGTTTTCTCAAAATAAGTAAAATGCTCATGAAGTGACTCAGAGCAGTTCTAGAGATTATGTTTATGTGTTCATGTACTCATATATTGAGGAGGCAGAGGCTGAAAACACCGCAAGCTTCAGTAGGCCTATGTGTAGTAAATGAAACCGCATGTCTGCGCCATTAATTTCCACGAGGGGCGGACTGGGAAAAAAATTTCAGGCTGGGAAATCTCACACTCATACACCCACAACAAATTCTGAAACATGGACAACCCTATTTTTTGTATGGACCTCACATAAAAAAGATTTAAATCCTTAGGTTGGGGACATGCAAAATAATTAAAAGTTCTCTCCTGAACTGCACCTTCACTTCCATTTTTCCTTTCAGTCTCTTTATTTTGCCCTGATACACAGTAAAAGCCCGAGTGTTAAATTAACACTGCTCAAAGCATATATGGTCCCACTCTAAAAGAGTGTTAAAGTAACAATGAAGCAGTGTTAAAGTTAATGAGATAATTATGTCATTAATTAAGTGCTGATTGAGCATTAGTGATGAACAGCTGCTGTTAACAAGCAGAATCACTGAAGAAAAGAGAAACAAGAATTACAACTGACTTCAGCCACAGCCTTAGATGAAATCAACTGAAATAAAAGAAGACATTAAATCTGTCAAGATCTCAGCAAAAGATGATTAATCATCTCCACAAACAGCATCACCAGCTTCATGCATTACTAACCAGTTAGACTATCTAAAACAGAAGTTCTTTATTGAGAATTAATGTTTAGATGTTTGTTTTTTTCAACTTACAGTTTTTGTGACTCTTGACCCTTGACTTTCAAATTTAAGTTTCTCTTTGGCTGGCACAATTGTGTGTATTAAACACATACGTGATGGCAAAAGGCTTATAATAAAATCGTGTCATGTGTCTGAGTCTCTGATTGCAATTTTGCTAAACCTGTAGTGCGGTTATGATTTCTATATTGTTGCAGTTATATGAGATAACAATGTGAGAAAAACCTTCATAAATGACTTTTAAAAATATGGTTCATTAAGACATTTCTATTCTGGCACTCATAGACATGAAGAATCAGTATGTGAATCTCAGCAATGTTGACAAAATATTCTGATAATTTTAATGTGATTTTTGAACGTCACAAAACAAGGAAGTAAAAAGTCACAACAAAAAATAACAAAAATAAAAGCAAATAGGAAAAATAAAAGAAAATACTAAACAATGCAGCTGCATAATTTATTCATGTCGCAATGCATGCTGGGAGCCATGGATGAGCTATGATTGGTGCACCCAGAATGCAATGCAACATGAATCTGTCTGATGATCGTCACCATTGTTGAGATTCATATGCTGATTCTTGACATCTGCGTGTCTAAACTGTACAGACGTTCTAAAACTGGTGTTCAAAGTGTTTTGAAGTTCTTCTTATTATTTCATTAAAATACAGTTGTGCTCAATATCAAACTATATTACAAATTACCACTGGTGACATCAGTGAACCTGGCTACTACTTGACAACAATGTCATTATCAAAAATATGGCCAACATAATCTGAACACATTTTCTCAAGTTTTTTTTGCCATAACAAATGTGTTTCATTAACACTATTACAGCAACCAAAGAAAAACTAATGTTAAAAAGTCAAGGGTCAAGACTTTCTAAATTGCCTACATGTCAAAATTAGTACA